GTTTTGCTATGCAGTTCAGGCTACCCATGAATTCACTTTGTAGTGCAGGCTGGCTTCAAATTCATAGCAATCCTCCTGTCTCAACCTCCTGAGTGCTGGGATTATAGGTGTGCACCATCACAATTGGTTTAAAATTTTTTTTTTCTTTTTTTGAGACAAGGTCTCACTATGCAGTTCAGGCTGGCCTTAAGCTCATTTTGTAGCCCAGCTGGTCTTGAACTTGCAATGATCTTCCTGCCTCAGCCTCCTGAGTGCTAGTGTCACTGGTGCTGGTGTCACAGATGTGTGTCAGCATGCCAGGTTTAAGATTATATTTTCAAAATAACTTTTGGTTTGTTTGTTTTTAAAACAAGGTCTTGCTATGTAGGTCAAGCTGGACTTGAGCTTACTATGTAGCCTAGGCTGACCCTAAACTCTTAATGATCCTCTTGCCTCAGCCTCCAGGGGGCTGGAATTACAGTTGTGTACCACTCTGTTTGGCGAATAGATGACATTCCAGCCTACTCTGTGGCCCTCAAAATGTGGCCAGGCAGGGGACTTGGGTATTACCTCCTCATTCGTTAGTCTGATTTCTGAATTTTCATAATCGACTTTAACTCCTCCATAGGAGTGGCTGATTTTGGTAAATAACACAGCCACTGAAACTGCGTCTCTAGTTAGAGTGTTTCAATTTTTCCTTTTTTTTAAAGTGAGAATTGAACCCAGGGTCTTCATTCTGAGTTACAACCCCAGATCTTTCTTCTTTTGAGACAGGGTCCTGTTAATCCACTAAACTACTCCAGCTCAGCTAGAATTTGTCGTTCTGTCTCAACCTCCAGCAGTCCTGGAATTAAAGGCTGAAAATTTAATTTCAATTTTTTTTTTTTTTTTTGGTTCCAGGGATTGAACTCATGACCTTGCAAAAGCAGGCGCTTATGCCATTGAGCTAAATCCCCAGCCAAATTTCAATTCTTTAAGGTTTAACATTCAATTTCTTTTGTAAAGGCCTATCACTGATCTAATCAAACTATTTTCAAAGGCCTCATAATTCACATTATACTGTGATTTACTTAGACAGGCTGTTTAATTTCAGTATTCTCAGCCCATTTCTAGCACTTTGTCTAGCATTTAGTATGCTTTTGATAAATATTTGTGCAAAGTCCAAATGAACTAAAGAGCCAGCAGAGTCTCTGACAGGTGTCAGTCTGGAAATTGCAAAATTCAGGAGGGCTGTGAGGGTGGCTATGACTATCCCAAATAGCAATTTTATGTAATAATAAATAAGTGAAAGAATGAACAGGGTTAAAGTCTAGGGAAACTTGTCTTTTCTATTTTGAAAAAGACTAATTTAGAAGGCTTACAATGTAACAGAAAAAGTAATCTTGATGTATTTGTAATTCAAACAGGAAAATAGTATAGTATAGTGTAGTATAGTATAGTAGATAGTATAGGATAGAAATACTATCTGATATATGGGATTTTGTTAAATTGCTAAATTGCCCAAACTGGGCCAGAGATCTTAGTGTCTCAGCCTCCCAAAGTGTTGGGATTGCAGGTATATATCACTATGCCTGTTTTACCACAGAAATTTAAGAGGAGAGAGAGAGAGAGAGAGAGAGAGAGAGAGAGAGAGAGAGAGAGAGAGACTGGAGTTAAACAATGTTTTCTTTCAGAGAAAACTGCCTCTAAAAGCTTTTTCTTGTGGGCACAAACGAGGCTGGCCCACTAGCAGCTTCCTGAAAGACTGCTTGCCGGTGTCAGTCTCTGCAGATCCCTTCTTTGAGGCTACTCAGCACTTCCAGAGGGGAACCTCATGTTCCCTGGCCAGGATAGCCGTGGGAAGAGCCGGCTGCAGGGCAGAGAGCCTCCTGGAGAGGCAGGCTCCGAAGCCCTTTAGAGCCTGGTCTCCCGCTGGCCTTCAGCCCGCTGCCAGTGTCAGGCTACCCTGTGATTCTCTGTCTGGCTGGGCTTCAGCAGCAGGTGAATCTAGTGGGTCCATGTGCGTGCTGTGCTGCATCTGGAAGGCAGTGTTCACAGGGCCCTCAGCCCTCCGGTGAGCCTCAGGGTGGCCTACAGCCTGCACTCTGCCAGAGCAGCCAGCGGGAGGCCCCGCTCCAGCCCAGACCTTGCGCCAGGCTTCTCATGCTGCTGGGGCTGCTGCTTGCTCAGCTCCCCCAGGGCCTTTTGTTATCTCACACCAAGCCTCTTTCCCTCTCCTTTTCTCTTTGACTTTACCAATTTATGTCTTTCACATTTTTTTCTTTCCTCTTTTTTTTAGTTGGGTTTTGTGAGAAAACATAAACTCAGGTTTTTACCCAAGTTAAAACACACAATTCTTTTTTTTTAACATTTAATTTCAAACATGTACCCAGGTCTTTGTTTTTCTATGGATGTAGAAAGTATGTCAGTACAAATGGGCTAGCTTTATGGCTAGGAAATAACATTTTCCTGTCCGGAAAGGGTCTTGCTTCCTGGAGCATGATTTCTGCAGAGACAACATGTACATTTTTATGGGCATCAGCACAGTGAATTAAATGATGAGGAAAGAACAATTAGCACAGTACAGCTTTTGCTTTCAAAAATCTTACTGTACAGCACAAAGGAAAGTAGAGCGTGACAAGTAAAGCACAACCAAATGACACGTCTGTCACCGGGCACAATGCCTGGAACATAGTGAACATGAAATCAGTATCAACCCAGTGAAGAACGGCTAATGCAAAGCAGTATTGTGGGATTGAAGAGGAGGAAGTAACTGTATATGCTATCTTCGGCATATCTGGGAAGTTTCATTCTATATTTAATTACACGTGATTCCATGTGTACCTGATGTGGATAGCTTTGAATTCCCATTCTATTTGTTTTTACTTCTTCTTCAATACATTACCTTTCTGAGGCAACTGTGTGTTTCATGGCACCTCGCACAGCGCAGAGCTGGTAGCTGATGATCATCTTGCTAACACTACCAGTCCCAGGGCTGCTTCTGCTTTTGTGCAGCTGTGTCTTCTCAGGCTGTTGGCCTAACATTCTTTTGGAAGAGCATATGATTCGGAAACAAGCCATAGCCATCTTCAGAAGTGAGGGTGATGTTGGACTGCGAAGGCCAGGCCGCAGGACCACCCTGCAGCCCGTTTTTCTGCATGCAGCAGGAGCACAGTGACAGGCCTGCACAGTGATTAAGGGCCCTGGCCTTCAAGGCAGAAAATCTAGCAATCGCCCGGTCTTTCATATACTACTTGTGTGACTTCTTTTCTTTTCTTTTTTTTGTCTTTTTGAGATAATGTCTCACTGTGCAGTATAGACAGGCCTTGAACTCACTTTGTATCCCAGGCTGGTCTCAAACTTGCAACAACCCTCTTGTCTCAGCCTTCTGAGTGCTGGGCTTACAGGCCTGGGCAACCATGCCTGGCTGTGATTTTAAGGAAGTGATTTAACCCTTTTGATTGATTCATCTGCCTATACCTGCTTTTTAGGGTTGTTGGTGGGTTAAATTGGATGATACTTTTAAAAAGAATAAAATTGTTCTAGAGAAGTTATAAAAGAGACTCAGTAGTACTATTGTGTGAAGTAAAATTATACACATATCTAGCATATCTTTTATTATAACTCTCTGGAATTCATAAGTTTCACATGTTCTAAAAATTTACATTATATTTTACAATTCTTCCCAAATTTGCAATTCACGATTTGGTGCCAAATTCAAGTGAGACTCTTCCAATTCTGTAACTGTTTTTTTATTGGCTCTGCAAGGACTAAGAACTATCTGCATTGTTGGAATAGACACAAAAAATTTCTTCTCCCTATTGAGTTCTTACATCATTGGTTCCCAACATTCACTAAATGGTGGAATCAACATGGATTCTCTAAAAACTTCTGAGGCCTGCTATCACTTTGGTCAGTGGGTTTAATTCCTGGATGTGGAGGTTTTTTTTAAAACTCCTGAGAGATCCCATCAGTAGCAGTTTAGGCACCGTTTCTTCAGTTACAGCAAAGTGAGAGAAGTGCTTCATGAATAGGACTAGTGATGAAGGAGTACAAGCATAAAAATACATTAACAAATCATTCAGTAAATTTAAATGTCTTTTTAAAAGCAGAAATCACAGGTATAACATTCGTTTGAAGACTGTGCAAGTATTTTCTGTCCTTACAGGATTCTTGGTTTCTAAAATTTGAGAAAACTCATCCTTGTGGTAATGCACAGAAACTATTCTGAATTTGAATAAAATCTTTTCACCAAGGCAAATTTGATCTTGATTTAAGCATTGGGCATGTAAAGCGCTTGCCTAAAATGTGCAAGGTCCTGGATTTGATCCTCTGTGTGTAAAGTTATGTTAATCTTGTTTTGCTTGCCTGAATGTTAAGACATCAAGAAAAAGGCCAATGTGTATCTCTATTCATTACAATTTTCTTCTTCTGAAAATAAAAATAATCTTCCATTTACATAATGATTGAGCACTTTATGTGCTCAATTTTAGATATTGTCTCAAAATTTCCACAACCCTGTAAGGTAGTAATAGCAATTATTATTTCCATTTTATAGACTAGGAACACTGTAGGAAGTTGCCTGAGATCACACAAGCAAGATATGTCTCAGCCAAGATATGGACCCAGATCTTCCTACTCACTCATCCTGTGCCTCTCCCACTCCATCAGCCAAGAAGCACATAGGACCCCTGAAAGAATGAGAGTTTCTTCTATATTTGTGTCACTGAACAAGTCCCATTCTAATTCAAGGTCATCCCAAGCATCACTTCGTGAAGGCAGAAGTCTGGGAGCATCTGTGACAGTTTTCTAGGTGACCGAGGGATTAGAGATGGTCTGAGCCTCATTAGACCTGTTGGAGCTACTTGAGTCTAAATCCAACCCTGGCTCATGAAAAATCCAAAGTTAATACATTGACAAAATTTTATGCTGGGAACATGGCTCAGTTGTAGAGTACTTCACCAGCATTGGGAAGGCCTTGTCAATCTCCAGTATGACGGGGAAAAAGCTTTAAAAAATTGTTCTTGTTTTTGTTCTTGCAGCTCTTTCAATGGACAAAATGATGAAGACATTTGGTTTCATTCTTGTTGTCTCTGTTCTGATCACGTTCGGGGAAAGCCGGGTAAGCTGATAGTGGACACCACTATCGGGTGTGAAATGCCTGCCTTGAGCTGGACTTTCTTTATGTAGCAGAAGACTGCCAATCACTTGTCACCGGCTGAAAAATGTCAACTAACAGTGAGGGGGATGCAAAAGTTTTGTGGGAGCACCTGGCACACAGCCACACTGAAAAAATGTTAAAAAGAATTTTTAAGTAAAAACTCGTATTCACAAGTATTTTTTTAATTTGCTGGAGTATTTTGTTTTTTATATAACATTAGGACTTTTATAATTAGAATTGACCTTGGACTTTCTAATACTGAACACTATTAGTGTAAGACTAGCCAGGGTCTTTTCCTTTTTTCTTTTCTTCCTCCTTCTCCTTTTTCCTTCTTCCTCTTTTCATCTCCTTCCTTTTTGTACGGCAGTATGGTTTTGGGGATTGAACCCAGAGACTGCGCTGAGCTCTCTACCCAGCCTTTTTTAAACTTAAATTTTGAGACAGAGTCTTACTAGGTCACTATATTGCTCAGGCTGGACTTCAACTTGCTGTCCTCTTGCCTTAGCCTTCTGGATTGCTGGTATTGTAGGTATTCACCGACATCACACCTAACTCACACAGATTCTTTAAAAGACATTACAGTGAACTTGTGTCTCCATTCATGAGCCAAAAAAGAATAATATATCCATTTACTAAAAGTTCTGGGAAAAGTAAAACTTTAAATAACCCATATGTCTAAATATGTTTAAATAACCCATATGTTTAAATAACCCATAAGCTTTAAATAACCCATATGTGCAGTTGCAAGACTGGACATACTTGGCTGGTACAGTAATCCCATCAATCATTTTTAAATTGCATTAGTGAATTCTATTTAACAGTTTCCTACTATTGTTAACCACACAGGATTCAGGCACATAAAATGCTCTTCACTTTTTAGCCTGTGTGACTCAAGGCACTAAGCAAATTACTCCCTCAAGTAGGATGAATCAAGATGTGATAAGATCAGTTACTTTCTCTCATTGCTTAGACAAAATACCCAACCCCCAACGTTAAAGGGGAGAAGTTTTATTTGGTTCTTAGTTTGTAGAGGTTTCAGTCCATGACTGGCTGGCTCCAAGGTAGGATGGCTTGGCATTGGGGCACTGTGGAGAACAGTTCATGGTGCCCACAGGTAGCAAAAGCAACAAGGACCTTAACAGCATCTTTTTGCTCCTTTTATCTTAGCCAAACTATTCATATTAGGGGTGGCCAAACCAATCAGTGAACTGATTTAGTAATCATATGCTCTTAATCCCAGCATCACATACTCTAAATTCAGCCACCCCTAAAAAATCCCAGCTGAGACTGCATGAGGCTTTCTTTTTTTTGCGGGTGGGGAGTGTGAGGGCCGGACACAAACCATAATAAGGATACCAAGACAAGAGGGAAATAATCATAGAAAAATAGCGGAGATTCAGGGATTTGGGATAGAGATAGGGAAAGAGGCTTTTATCACTGATTCTTTATTACTCTATGACTTTCAGTTTTGAGGTTGAATGCGTCCTGAAATCTATACTTTGAATACTTAAGTCTAAGATGTTTTAAAAGCTGTTGAATTTACTTACTATAAAATTTAGTTCTTTGTTAAACTTGTATCTGGACATGACCAACGGTATAATAATAATTGGTTTCTCATGAAGTATACTAAAAGTCTTTTATAGAGAGGTAGTATTATCTCTTTCCTTTATCCAAAATAACATATCTGATTGGCCTGTTGTGATGGTCTAGCAGACTGCCTGGAATACAATACAGGAGGTCCTCAAATTTATTTATGGAATGAATATATATATATATATATATATATATATATATATATATAATAGTGAAAATGACTTTAAAATAACTCCAGTAAATTTTCAGCATCAGGTAGATGAATGGGGTACTCGAAGTTGTGAGTGTCTAAATTAGCATCCTTTATAAAGACGACCACATGTCATCAAATTAGAAGCACTGAATCTTTTTGGGAAGGAGTTCTGGAAATTGAATTTAGGACTCATGCTTGCCAGACAGGCCCTGCACCACTGAACTAAATCCCTGGCCCAGCACTGAATCATTTAAAAAGCATATTTTACTTAGAGTCATTCAAGAACCTCATTTATTTTAGGGGTTGACATGTTAATGATACTAGGAACATCTGCAAAGCACTTCCCTGTAAAACACATAGGTGGTATCAGGTGGAGACGGAAAGCTTGGCTCTTGAACTGGACTGGAACCCTGACTGCTCCAACCCACAAGGTACTCAGGAGGGAGTCTTTCCATCCGGATGGAAGCCACTCCTGCCTTTCGTATTGCTATGGGGATCAAAGCTCCCAGCATAGCCATTCTGATGACTATGCACTGTACGCTTACAGTTCTGTGGTTCAGAAGCATTAGTATAAACTGTAATTTCTTATTCTTCAAATCCAACCAGTATTGGAACTTTTCAAACCACTTTATTGTTGGAATAACATCCTTTTTTAAATGATAGGCCAGAACATCTGTTATTCCAACAATACAAAAAGAAAACAGGTACAAGTTAGTATTAAGGGACTTCTTAAACCTGAAATAACATGTATGTATATTTAATATATACATAATGTATATTTAAATCTTTTTATTTCCATTACATCCTTTGGCTGTATTTTGTTAATATGATATCTGTTCTTCTTAGTCCTTAGGAAGGTTCACTACCCTGTCACTCAAACCGAACCTCCTCCTCCTCCTCCTCCTCCTTGACCACTCCCCCACCTCTTTGCTTGAACTGTTAACAAGACATCTTCTTATGTTTCTCTGGAATTAATCTCTCCTTCATTAGAGTTCCCTTTTGCAGTTCCATTTCTTCCTAAGTGTGGCACATGAGATTTTAACTGCTCTGTCACAGTTTTTTCTTCTTTAGTCGGTGGTGACAGCTCCACATCTCTAGCTTTTGTAGTTCTTGTGTCATGGTTAAGTCTTGCTCAAAGTACTAGAAATGCAGCAGGTTTAAAAGAAGCATAAAAGTTTGGTATCGAGACTTTATCGCTGACACTTCCTGTAAGAGTGTAACTGGATTTTTCTCACCTGCGGAATCAGGATGATCAGTCTTGATTTCATATTTCAGCCTGAGCTGAATGTAATGGAGATCAGTGTCAGCTTTCTGGAATATTAGTTCCAGTTTGTCGACCTCTGCTTCCATGTTGAATAGTTGGCCTTCTTCAGCCGCCAGTGGCATTTAAACTGCAAACCTTCTGGAATAATATTCTTAATGGGAGTTGGAGACAAAATTGGGTAACTGATTTACCTAAATTATTACCAGCATTTATTTTTCAGGACAATGAGATGAACATTGCTTTGCAGGACCTGGAGGACTGTTCCCAGGAGCAGGCGCGGCTCAGAGCACAGGTGCACCTGCTGGAGACCCGGGTCAAACAGCAACAGATCAAGATTGCACGGCTTTTGCATGAGAAAGAAATCCAATTCCTCGACGAAGGAGAAGAGAACAGTGTAATTGACCTCGGAAGCAAGAGGCAGTATGCAGGTCAGGATCAACTAAGATTTTCAGTAACTTTTATAGTCATGTAACAAACAAAACATTCCATCAATTTAAAATGTCTTCTACCATATTGTACATTTTCTCTGCATAACATATTTTTTGTCTTTCTTGTTTCTTCTTTTATTTTTTGAGACAAGGTCTTGGTATGGAATTCAGGCTGAACTATGTAGCACAGGCTGGCTTTGAACTCGCAGTGATCCTCTTGCCTCAGCCTCCTGAGGGCTTGGATTACAGGTGTGCGCCATCGTGCCTCACCTCTCTCTATAATGTGGTGTTTACTAATAATTCAAAATATCTGAGAATTTCTATAGTTTAATAAATCACAACAATAGATTTTATTTTTATTTTTGCAATTCTAATTTTTATTACTACATATTTGTGATAATACTGATCACACTCCTTGTGAGGACTTGGTCCACGTATGAAACATATCTCAATTATCTTTTATTACCTTCCCCTTCCCTCACTCCCCCTCCCTTCATCTCTCTGCCCCCTTCCCCTCTGCAAAGGATCTACCTGCCTATTTCCTATCAAGACAATAGATTTTTAAAGATTAGTATACCGATGGAAGATTATGGCTGTAAATTTCTTCAGTTTTTATTTTTTAGTAGCACGTTTCCAATACATAACAATTACATTTCTTATGGGTAGTTGGTACTTTTATATAACACACTGTAATTCTTTTTTTCAGCCTCTTTCCCTCCCTGTTACCATCTCACCTCCTAACCCCCTTCCATATGAGAAAGATTTTTCTCTTTGTTTTTTATTATCAGTCATTTATTTTAGACTTTATTTGCATTTTTGCATATATTTCTCATATAAAAGAATCTTTGCTGTATTTAAACTGTGTGTACAACTGATTTAACTTAATATTACGGTCTCAAGGTGCATTCATTTTCTTACAAATGACTCAACTTTATTTTTATGGCAAAGTATTACTCTATTATGTACAAATGCCAGGTTTTCTTTCTCCAGTCATGTGTTAATGAACACATAGCTGCTTCCAAAATTTAGCTATTATGAATTGTGCTGCTATAAACATGGGTACACTTGTACACTGTAATATGATTTCTTTAATGCTTTCAGTAAGCTACCTAGAAGGGGAATAACTGGGTCAAATGTAATTTCCAGTTTTAGTTTTTTAAGGAATCTCCATACTGATTTTTATAGTGATTATACATTCACACTAACAAAATAGAAGCATTCATTTTTCCCACAGCCTCGCCAACATTTGTTATTTGATTTTTTGGTGATGGCCACACTTTCTGGACTAAGATGGAATGTCAGTGTTGTTTTAATTTGCATTTCTCTATTGACCAGAGATGGTGAACATTTTTTAATGTATTTATTGGTCATTTGTACTTCTTCTGAGAAGAAATGTCTATTCATTTTAGTTGCCAATTTTTTTATTGTGTCTTTATTTTTGGTGGTCTAATTTTTAAGTTCTTTATATATTATACCTGACAAATACCTGGCAAAATTTTTTCCTAGTCTTTAGGTTATCTCTTCACTCTATTGGTTGTTTGCTGTGCAGAAGACTTTTAATTTGATAAAAGTCTCTTCTTGTTCAATTTTCAGTTGTTTTATAGTGTTAGCATTTTGATTGGAATTACATTAAATCTATATATGGTTTTGGAAATACAGTCATTTGACAATATTGGACCTGCTTATCCAGAGCACAGGATATCTTTCTATTTTCTGATGTTTTCAGTCTTCTTTTTCAGAGTACCATAGTTTTCAGTGTAGAGGTCTTTCACTTCTTTGGTTAGGTTAATTGCTAAGTATTTAATTTTTTCTTGATGTTATTGTGAATGGCACTTTTCCCTCATTTTTGTCAACAAGTTAATTATTGGTGCATAGGAATACTATTGATTTTGTATACTACTACATTGGTGATTTCGATATTAACTCTAGGAGTCTTTGGTGAAATTTTCTGGGTCTTCTCTGTAAAGAATATTGTCATCTGTAAAAAGAATATTTGAATGCTTTCTTTCCTTTATATATCTATTTCATTTCCTTCTTTTGCCTGATTGCTCCAGTAAGGTTTTGAATACTACACTGAAGAGCTGTGGTGACGTGGACCCCCTTGGTTTGTTCCTGATTTTAGAGGGAAAGTTTTCACCTTTTACTTACTGAAAATTGGCAGTACATTTGTCATAGATGGCTTTTATCAAATTGAGATAAGTTCCGTCTTCAAGATTTTTTTTTAAAATCATGAATGAATGTTTGCTTTTGTTGCATCTTTTGAGATGATCATGTGATTTTCCCCTTTCCTGTGTATGTATTACATTTTTTGATTTTCATATGTTGAACCATCCTTGCATCTCTCGGAGGAAGCCTTGTTGATTATGATGCATGATCTTTTTGATGATTTGTTGTATTCTGTTTGCCAGTATCTTGTTGAGGATTTTTGCATGTGCACTGAGCTATACCCCTGGCTGCTGCCCTGCAGGGTTGATAGGTATAGGGCAAGGGTGGCCTGCGGCTTTGGAGCACAGGACTAAAAGGAAGCAGGTACAGCCAGGTAAAACAGACTTGGGAATAACCCCAGGAATAACAGAGAAATAGGAATTGGAACCTAAGACAAAAAATACAGTGAAGATTAGGCAAGGCAATAAAAGAAAGATTAGGAAAGAAAGGAAGCAGGATCAGCAGATACTCTTGGAAGACAGTGATTCTCAGTCAGTCTATGCAGTAGAATCACCCTATGACCTTCTAAGATGCTGATGCCCATCAAAAACTATGAGGGACTTGAGATTTTACTCTATTTTCAAGCCAACAAGTTAGCCTGTGTGAACCTTGGCAAGCAACATTGGGGAGACTTCTGGGCCAGGAAAATGAGCTTTGTATTTGTATCAATGTCTGTTGTCCCCACATCCCAAGAGAACAGTAGGGAATAGCCCAGTGGAAAGTGTGCAGATAGTGGGCTGTGTCACGGCTGGAAACCCCACTTACAAAACCCTAACACTTTATAAAGGATTACAAGCAAATCAAGCAAATACGCCCAAACTTTGCCCAAACTAGAGGGAGATGTTATCTTTGTTTTAGTGCCCAGCAAACAAAACTACTGTTCGCTCCAAAGGAAGACCCCATCACTGATTTCCAAGGCTCTTCCCTATACAAATATCCTTGAAAAAAACAGAATATAAATTTTTCTGGCGAAACATGGGGAAGTGTAAGTGACCCAGGAGGAATTATCTGTGCCAGACCAATAAAACAGGAATTCTTACCTCTTCTCTCAAAGAGGATTTGTGCTTTTGCTGTTGTGGGGGAATGAGTTGTTTCAGACAAGAGTCAAGTCTTTTCCAAATTCCTTCCCACAGGCTGAGAAGGGCCAAGATTGGCTGGAGTCATCTATTTGAACACTTCCCTATTTTCAGAGAAAATGTGGGTTCCCGTGACAGCTCTTCACGGTACCTTCTTCACTGGCTGAAGTTTTGTAAAATGGTCATATAGTCACTCTGAAATTCAGCTGCCTATTCAGAAGGACAGATGTTGGATGTTAGGAATACACTGTGTAACTTGGGTCAGTTATTGTGGATAATTTGCACATGGAAAATAATTTTATGGCCCCCTCCCATTTATGTGTTGAAGTCCTAATCCCAGTGCTTGTGAATGTGATCGTATTTGAATGTAGGACCTTATGAAATTAAAATAAGGCTGTTAGAATTGACCACAATCCAATCTGACTGGTGTCCTTACAATGAGAAAAAATTTAGACTCAAAGAGGTGGATCAGGGAGACACAGAATACAATAAATTCCTGACTTATGACCATTTGAGTTGTGAACTTTCACTGGTGTAGTGTACAACGCTCACTTTGTCAGACTTAGGAACAAATCTGACTTACCAATATTTTCCCAGAATGGAACTCATTTGTCCATCAGGGATTTACTAAAGAATATATAAGGCCGGGGATTTAGCTCAGTGGTGTGCCTGCTGGTAAGCATGAGGTTGTGAGTTCAATTTCCGGTACAAAAAAAAAAAAAGAATATATGAAGACAGAGGAAGGCAGTCATCTGTCATCCTAGGAGAGAGATTTGAGAAGAAACTAAACCTAATGATACCTAGATAATAGCCTTTCAGAGTCCTGGAACTGTGGAGAACAGTGAGAAAATATATTTCTGTTATTTAAACTGACTGACCAGTGGTACTTTGTTATGGAAATCTTGACAAATTATATGTCTTGCATGGCTCTATAAATGAAGCATCTTTTTTGTTAATTTTAAAGAGAAAAACAGATAAGCAGTGAGTTTCAAAACAGGTTAGAAGGACTGTTAAAATACTTGATATATTACATATTGGTGTATAGGACATCAGCATGGTATCTTGCCCAAACAATGCTAGTACAAAACATTTTCCCCCAAGGAACAAACAGAAGCTAGCTGTGTAACTACCTTAACTCTCTTGTACATACCTATATTTTTCCCTTTACCCATCTTCCTTTCCCCCATCACAGCTTGTCTCCTCTCTTGAACAGTTTCTTCCCAGTTCACAATATCCATTGTAGACTTTTTTTATTTTAAAGAGAAGAAAAAAAAAAAAACCAGAAAAATCAAGATGCAAACAAACCTGGAAAACAACAACAACAATAGCTATACAGGTTTTCAAAATGAGATGACAGTAATTTAAAATGGAACAAAATATTGGGTTTCAAAAACACAGCAGAAGGAAATCTCCCAAAGTTACCACAGTGCACACTGCCATCCTCCAAATAGATGCCCTGGTCACTAGCCCCAGGCCTGCAAAGTCAATCAAACAATATGAGCATCAAGCTATCCCTTTCATTTCAGTTGTTACCATCTGAATCAGCCAGGCCGGAGGCTGGGGAGTCTGGTTTGCAGGAGGGCATGCTTTGTTGTCTCGCTGAATAATCTCCTCCTGATTCTCATGGCAGAGCCCAAAAGAAATATCTTTATAAAGGAAAACAAAACAAAACAAAACAAAACTGAAGTGTCATTTTATCAAGGCTCTACAGGGCATAAA